TGCGAGCTCCGTGCTCCGCATTAAATAATTTCTTTTCAATGGATATATAATATAGCTACGACCACATCAGATGTGGCAGCGCAAAACCAGAAAGTTCAAACGATGTCAGTATCCTTTAGCTACCATCCGTGAAAATTATTCAAGAACATTACGAAATCATTTGAAATACTCATAAGCCCGCTATCTTAATCGAGATTTCACGAGGGATCGATTTAAGAAACTATTATTTTTCTATTCAATCTCTCTAAATCGCTTCACGTATTGATTTTTAATTCTTTGGAACACATTGACGATGGGTTCATTGAACCAATTCAATTATAAATATTCTCTTTGTCAAAAATGACGAACAGTTTAATCTTCTTACATCTCAAAATTTGAATTATTTTTATTAAAATACACTTAGTATTTTGTGTCATTTTGATTCCTTGAAGTTATTTAGTGCCCTTTAATTTACACAGTTAAACGTTAACATTTAAATCTGGATCTTGCAGATGCAGTGTCAGTATCTGGGAAGAGTCTGGTTGCAATTGGAACTCTAGTGGAAAATGGACAAATCAATTTCTAGTGAATTAAATTATTTGTTATAATTTTAGGTTACATTCAAAAACGTCCTCTTCGAAAAAAAATTTACTCGAAATAATTAGTATACATATATTATATTACGTCGAGTATTTTTCTCAGAGAGGAATTTTGGAATGTAGCTCTAACAGAAATAAATAGATATTCTATCATGATAAATTTATGAATTAAAGTTCTAAATGGGAGGCAACAGCGATAGGGATAAAAACAATAATAACGATAACAATAGGAACAAAGGAATCCAACATACGGGAATGCATATGCTAATACACAATATTAGGAAACATGGAATAAGGCAACAGCGATAAATTTCCGACGTTGGAATTCTGTGTCTATTGCTTTATCTATAGCCTACCAATCAGCGTTCAGATTTTTTCTGTTATAACTTTGAAGTAGATGGAAGAATATACTATAGTCTATATACGAGATCAGATTGGTTGGCATTTTTATTTCTTTCGCATTGTGCAACGGGAGGTGACAATTATATTGTATATCACTATTTTTATAACATTTCTATTGCTATTCTTACAACTGTTGCCTCGCATTGTGTTTAGGACTTTGGTTCATTCCCTTACAACCAGAAATTTTTCTCATGTATATGTTATAAATTTTAGCACTAACTCTAAAGAGTTAATGTATTACAAATATTTCAAGAAAAACAACGCATGTTATATATCAACGTTAATTTATATCGTTCTAAAGAAGCATTTAATGACTGTCTCGAAATAAACAGATTCGAAGAATACTAGAATTTTCTCGGGGTAAACTCTCATGAATTATGCATGAAACTGCGTAAAATCGGGACATTAGTTTACACACATACGCTCGCCTGGCCACGTACAAATGAAATTCAGTTGAAATGAGCTAATATACCGCTATCCTAAGAAACATGCGGCTAACTTCGACAACGGATTTGCAATATGTCCCGCTCGTCGATACATGCCACAACTGTATACATACATAAACCCCTGGATTGATTATTCGCAATAAACCGTGTTCATCAAGCGGATAATATTGGTATGTGCAGCCACCGTAGTCCGTTGTTCATATGTTTTGCTTGGCTTAAGCTTAACCAAGTGTGGTTTTCGCGTCTCTCTACTTCCGTCTTTCTTTTATTTGCTTTTTTAAAAGAGATATTATTTGTAAAATCAACCAATCTCTATATTCAATTATTGAAACTTTAATTTTTCATAAAATTTATCTTGTTAGAACAAGTAAATATTTATGTGAGAAAAAATAAATATCTAAATAGAAAGTAATAAATAATAAAGTAACAAAAGTAAATATCTAAATAAGAGTAAACAATTAGATCTGTCCGTAAATATTGTTATATATATTTAATAATTTTCCGTTGTCGTTCGTCTATATTTTTCATCTATATTTTATAAGTTCATTAATCGATTCGGAGCCGTGTTTCCACTTCGAAAAAATTAATATTAATAACTTTTTTAGTCAGAGTCTATTAAATGTTACGAAATGTCATAAAAATATTCTAAAGATTCTTTGTTGGGAAGAATTTAATGTCGTTGATCTATCAATGGTTACGAATCATCCGGCCGAAACTATAAAAAGGATTAATCGCGCCGAGTTGAAGGATCAAGGACGAAAGACCGCAGAGGAAATCATCTGTTCGTCCAAGTTCAGTACCCACCGTGACTAAGAATCCTGCGGCAGCATAGGAATCACAATCGCGCGATCAAATCGTTTAATTATCGTGAATTACCTCTGAAAGTACATTGCCCTCTTGTAAAAAACGAGACCATCGACTGTCGACCGTTGTAATCTTAACGAAGGTCACTCGCGCAAGAAAGTATGACGCTTCTTCATATCTCGAGACCTTGAGACAGACTCGTAAGCATACCTTGACTGACACCGCTCGACAGATCGCTGCTGTTGCTTCTGCTTTTGCTTGTGACGTTGCTGCAAAACTTCTTCAAAGTTGTCAAACTGTACGACGATGCATTATCTCCTTTTGATGATGTGATGGTCAAATTAAGTTTCTCGTTTACGTTCCACGAGATCACCTGGATCACCTGACGTCAATCAGACTCAAATCTCGCACCCTCGATCGCAAATCCCCGGTGAACAGCTGCGGCCACGTGGTCGAAGCCTATCGAGTGGTGTCTCCCACGCCCGGCGCCTCCCCGTTTCATCTGTGACCCTGTGACCTTCACGGGCTTTGGAGAACGCCCTTCAACAACCGATCTCCGGACATCCGCTCGGTAAACACGAGATATCATACGTCGCGTGCGACAGTCAGATTCACGACAGGGATCCGTAGATGGGAGGAAGATACCTCTCAGAATTGGCAGCCGCCGGCTCGACCTGCTCGCCACGGCTGGCACCTATCGAACTGGTTTTGCTCGGTTCACGACTTCTGGATCAACCCGATCCTGGTGTTCGCTTGTGGGCTCGCTCCCCCTGCACGAAGAATTGGCAGGCCACGACGACACGCATCGGCCGAGCGCGCGCGCTCGTTCGCGTCCTCGTGAGAGAGAGAAGTTAGCCCCCCACACAGGTAAGAGGTAAAGCCGAGTAGATACAAACGACGGCAAGCTAAACTGTGGGACAGCCATGGACGGTAGACCGTGTCGGGGCCGGCGCTTATCGTGCCGACGGGGACTCTAGCGTTCGGGCACTTCTCGAGGTGAGGTGGTGGCAATGACCGTTCTCTCCCGCGTTCTTCTTCGTCTCGCTCGCGCGCGAAACGTCCCGACCTGTTCCTCCTTCTTCTCGGCCCCTTTTCCATCAACCTGTTGCGGAGGTTCCCTCTTCTGCCTCCAGCATTACCACCACTACCATCACCTCCACAACCACCTAGACTTGAGCATCGTCACTGTAGTTAGCTTCCTTTCCTGCTCGTGTGTTGTTCCCTCACCCTTGGTTGCTTCTCTCGATTTCCCCACTACGACCTCGTTGTCATCGTAGGTCGACGACGGATGATGGCTCGTACTTCATCAATGATGTCTCCTTTAGGTCTTACATTTTTTCTTCCTATTTTTTTCACTTTTTCTTTTCGATTGTTCTTCTGATTCATCATTTTTATTAAAAGATAACAGTGTTTCTACGATCACGATTTCATATAAATAAGGGATCGTGGTTAATGATAAATCTTCGCATATTCGCAATGTAACACAATAATTGACGTAAAAAGGTTTTTCTTATTAAATATTTTTTATTTGACCAAACCCAGTCGTCTTAATCTTTTCCTAATGACTTATTCGTCATTAGACAAATAGTAATTTTATTGCTTCGTTATAATTTTATATGTTGGTAACATTATATTATGAGGATACATCTTACAGCCATTTGTCAGTACTGTCTAACGATATGCTGACATTTATCTGAGTATGTATATACTTTTGAAAAAAAATTATATAGAAGTTTCACGTTGTACAATCCAGCTATTTTATCAGCATGTAATTAGATCTCTCTCATTATTTTATAAAAAAAATTGTAGAAGCAAAATATATTTTATGTTGTGTCAAATTATGATTTCTTGTACCACATAAATTTGTCTACATAATGTATATTAAAAATATTTTAACAATTTTTTTTATTGTTGCTATATATAGTGAATATATTTAGATATTTGATATATGAAAATAGAATATTATATAACAAGTTTTTACATATTAATTTTTCAAAATAACACATGACAAAATAATTTTATAAATAAGCACTTGTATATATCCAACTTATAGCATATACATACATTTCTCAGCGAATTACCTGCATCAGGTAAGTCTTTACCTGTAGAACATCGCCATACGGTGAGTATCCGCCACGTTGCGTTTGTTTAGTCGAATTAAAATGACCACGATAATGTTTTATTTAAGAAGAATACGCTAATTAAATAATGTTATATTTTATGATTAATAATATTATATTTTATTAAAATAAGAAGTAATGCAAAAAACTAATATTAGTGGAATAAGTTATGTTAAATATATTCTCTTAGGTAGTTTTCGTACAGGAAGATGCTAAAACAATAATTTTATAATTTGTCGCGTAACTTTGTATAATCATTAATGCTTCCGTTTAATGGTATTTTCCATGTATTGTTTTATTCTTTTTATTCCATACTATTATTTTATTCCAAGCAGAACAACAAATTATTATGATATCAAAATGATGTTAAAATGACTTCAAAATGATTATAAGTTATTTTTCAATCATTTCCGATTTTAATGTCATTTTGACGTTATCGTGACTTATCTGTTTGAGTATAATCCTATATCAGTTTTCTACTTGATTCTTGTCAATGACATTTTCTGTTAGCAAGGATAGGATGAATGGTGGGATTAAATCTCGGGGATTGGTTGCGGTTTATAGTCGAGGGGATGCATCGGAGGGTGCTTTCGTAGGTATATATACTCCTGTCGGCGGCATAGCGGCTGATTCGAACTACTGAAACGTTCGCTGCTGGTATATTCAGAAGATACCAGGATATCGCGAGGGTGAAAAAGAATTTGTAAAATATTAGTGAATTTAACTCGGTCTTCAATAAAGTGAATATTTGTCTTCAATTGATTTACTATTTAATCTACTATACAAATCGCCACGAAGGTTTATTTGTTGAATGGTGAGTTCTAACTGTTCATTATATGAATTTAAAAAATTATAATTTTGATATCGTAACTGATTTAAAAAAGTGTTTGGAAAACTCTTAATAAAAATCTAACTGCAAATTTTCCGGTTATTAATCTTATTGGCGTAACTTTCATAAAATATTTGTTAAGTAATTTTTTTTGTTATTTTTTATTATTCATAAAACTGATACTAAATATATTTTATTAGCATTCTGAATGTATTCTATTATAATTATAATTTTTATTTATGTATTAATAAATTTCAATTGCAAAACAGCTACTCTAAATTAATATTAGTTTTCTTTCTATGCAGAATAAATTATAGCAAAATTATGTTATTTCTTAGTAACTTGAGATTACTCTGATATAGTTTATCAATCTTTTTAAAATTGTATATAATCAAGATAAATAGTTACAATTACTAACATATATTAAGAGATATTGTAACTTTCCGTATATGAGTATCTGGCTGATAACATTTTAATGTCTTTAATTTATTAAAGATAAAGATGTAACAAAAAAATAAATATAATACTTGAACGATAAGTGGTTATAAATTAACAGTCAGTAAAGAAGTTAAAATATTATATTAGTGTTATATATTCATTTTTGAATACCGTAAAACTAAAATGACAATATTAAGAAAAACTAAAAACCGTAGATTTATTGTATTATTGATATTAATAATTACATTGTAACATTACATATAATTTATTTGATATATTTTGTTTCTTTTACTTACTTTTAAACCTAATATTAAACGAAATATTAGGTGTTGGAATTAATTCGTAGCGTTTTTTAATGAAAGAATGTTATTTATTTCACATGAGTATTAAAAAATACATTAATGAAAGTACTTCCCATCACTTATAAAACGCTACGAATTAATTCCAACACCTAATAGTTTCAGTGACACTTCAAGTGTACTTTTTTATTTTTTATTTAAAATGACTTATTTCGATATTTATTATTTTTGCATTTTTTACACACACACACACACACATATACTTAATGTATGTACCTATTGAATTCTCTGACTAATATAACAGTCAATTAATCTTATTAATGAAACACAAGTGTTTTGTTTCAAATAACAGCGTTGTAAAGTAGAAACACATTGGCTCTTTTCAGCAAAGAAAATTGAACAGTGAGTGTTTAGTGATTTTTTTAATATAATACTTACACTTAGATTCAACGATGAACTAAAAAGAATCATGTTAAAAAATTATTGAGCGCTCACCGATCAATTTTGTTTACTAAACGCAGCTATTTTATCAATCCGGTAATCAGTCAACGTGACGAATGTGTCATCATCACAAAAGGACATACCTAAAAATCAAATTCCGTAATTGATTTGACAGCTTCGTTATCGCTGTAATCAGTCGTAGTACTCTATACGTCATATGTATGTATAATCGTATGCATTAGAATATGGCACAATGAATTTTGCATATTCAACGAAATTGACTCGCGACTCCTCTTGTCATTTCGCGTTTCGTCCGTGGCAAGTTTATCTCTTAACGAATTTATTCCAACGATTTGCAGCTGCCTGTCACTATTTGAATCGATTCCATAAGCAAATTAATACCGTTCTTTGTTATTCACAATTTAAATAATTCCATTTTCTTTTGATAAGTTATAAAAAATTTATTAAAATTGCGAGATAGAGCAGTTCAAGCTCAAAGAATTCATGAAAAGAAAAAAGTTCAAAAGATTTATATTGTATTATATTTTTATAAACTATTCTGCATTTTAAAAAATATAAAAAATATAATATCTTATAGTACAACACGATATATTTGTAAGGAACAAAGGATTTATTAACATTTCTCAAGAATTCTTCGATTGATTCTGAGAAGTTAACTATATTAATTAATTTTGCATGTTAATTGAGGAACTTCTTTCTTACAAAGCAGTCACATTGAAACGAACTCGCAGGAAAATCCGCAATGATCATCTCCAACTTGTACTTTTATTACGCATTAAAAGATTTTTGATTGTGTTTCTTTGATGTACGTCACGTATAAGACGGGAAATTTCTCCGTGGCAGAGAAAGAGGAAAACGTCATTTCTATCGTGAATTCATGATCACACATATGAATATCGAAGCTATATCATCCTAGCATTCTTTTGTACACTCCTCACCGTATCATTGCAGCAACGAGACTACTGCTTCAAACTGTTCGAAATGCGGACACGGATGAATCCTATTTGTTTCTTCTGTTGCTTGCTTGTTACCATTATCGGAATAACGATTACCTGTGCCGAGCCGGAACCCATGACTAGATTAACTAGACCACCGCAGATCTCCAACTCAAACGTTCAGCTACAGCGATACGCCGATTCGGTTAAAAATTTTTATCACATGTATGGAAAATCGAGGTAATTACATTTACGAGCATTGCCAATCGTTTCGTGATACAAATCAGTGGATAATAAGGTTACTTCAAACATAATTATTAAATCAGTACACGATATATATATATATATATATGCTCAGTAACACTATTTGACAAGAAGTGATTTACTTTTTTTAACACTAGAACATGAGAGTCACTTTCTCTAGTATTTTTTTTTTTTGGATATTGAATACAACTCTGTTTTCTAAATTGCTCCATCATGTTACAATTTTAAGAAATTTACAGTTGCAAAAAGGGCTATTTTCATATTACTACGATATGTAATGTGCTAAAAAAATTTTATCATCAAAATTAAGAATGTCATTAGAATTTTCAATTCTCTTAAAAGGATTTTTTAATAAATGTAAATAAAATTTAATGGAGCAATTTGAAAATCGGATTTGTATTCAACATTCAAAAATTGCAGAAAATGATTAATCTCATGCTAGTGTTTCTTTTGTCGAATAGTATAATAATAGCTTTTCGATTGTTACTTTACTTTATCTCAAATTAAAACAAGGTTTATATGGAATAAATAACAGATAATTATTACATGCCATTATGATAAAAGAATGCATACATGAACTTATTGAAACACTAATAATTTCAATAAGTAATTAATATTATGAATAAGATTAAAAGATTATCTTGAAATGTAAAAGAAAAGACACAAAGATAGTCTAACCGTACGTAATAATAAAAAGAATTAATCGTAGTATATATAGAAATTAAAAAATCGACCATCACATGAGCAGGCATGGCAAACGAAGTGATGCTGCGCCGTTGATGGAGCTGAATGCCACTTGGGAGACCCTGAAGATGATTCAGGATGCACAACGGCAAAACGAACAGCGAAGGCAAGAAAACATCAGACAGAACAAAGAGCAAATCCTGCTCCGCGACTTTCCGAACTTGGACGCCAACGAGTATACGTTATACGATGTTACACGATCCGGCTCTCTTTCGGACATAATTAACAAATATTATAACGATGTACAATAAACAATTTCCAAAACGTCCTTCTTTCTCTCCTAATATCGAGATTAATTTTCTCTCGATTCTGAAATAAATCAAAATTGATTATTGTTCCGCATAATCGTAATGATTATCAATATTATATTTTGCTTTTTCTTTTTTTAGTTTAAATTTCGAATATTTTGTCAATGTATAAATAAAGATGAGAGTATGCTTGAAAATGACAAATAGCGTGTCCAATGGGAATGTAATTTCATATCGAAATATACGAAAGTTGAAATTGAAAATCAATGCCTGGGATAATGCTTGAAATAAATATAATTATATAAATTATATGATATAAATTGACATAGCACATTTGTAATCCTATTTAACCTTGCATAAATACAAATACAGCTTATGCAAAATTCTTTTTTTAACGATATCTAAGACGTATGTACATAATATAGACGAATTTAAACATTTATTCTAACAAACATAGAATTTAATGTATTTAAATGATAAAAATATGAAATAATGAGAATTACTCTCATTTATTATAATAAGTAATGTTAATTAATATTGAACAATAATTTCAATAATTAACAAGTTACAATACAATGTGGCGGTACTGTTTGATAATAACGGTTCATTCTATGTATAAATAAATAATTGTAGATAAACCTTAACTTCTTATGAAGAAAAACGGAATTTTCTCTTAAAATTTATTTAACTCTAAATATTATCATATCACTAAACGCTAAATTAATTACGAAAAAAGTGAATATAATGATTTATAAGTAATTTCAATAATTTTCAAACTTGCAAACGATAAAATAAAAATTAAAATTGAAATAAAGCTTTGACAAAAATTTGTTCAGTATACGTCGTTCCTTGTTTGAAGGTGCCATAGATTCCTTTTTTTATTACCATTTTTCATTAATTATAAAGACATGATCTTCATTAAATAGAACGAACTCCACAAACAGCATCCTTCTTCCGTTTGCAAGTTTTTTGAACAGAATTAAAATAGAGTGAGTTAGGACATGATTGAACCCATGCCACGCCACCGCTACAGATACAGAATTTCTTGCAGTCATCATTCGGGAGTAGCACTGCATAATCAGAGTCTTCTTCTGGACAAGTACCAATACAAGTAGATGGATCGAGATTGTCATATGTTGCGCGTTCATTATTTTCAATAGTCAGAGTTTTCATCGAATCGTCATTGTTGACCGTTTTATCAATCATGAAAATGCTATCTTGATTGTACGAACGTACCCCACAAACGGCCTGCTTCTTTTTCTTACAGATCTTTTGAACAGAATCAAAATAAAGTGGGTCAGGGCAGGATTGAACCCATGCCACGCCACCGCTACACATACAGAATTTTTTGCAGTCATCGTTCGGGAGTAGCACTGCATAATCAGGGTCTTCTTCTGGACAAGTACCAATACAAGTAGATGGATCGAGATTGTCATACGTTGTGCGTTCATTATTTTCAGTGGTCAGAGTTTTCATCGAATCGTCATTGTCGACTGTTTTATCAATCATGAAAATGCTATCTTGATTGTATGAACGTACCCCACAAACGGCCTGCTTCTTTTTCTTACAGATCTTTTGAACAGAATCAAAATAAAGTGGGTCAGGGCATGATTGAACCCATGCCACGCCACCGCTACACATACAGAATTTTTTGCAGTCATCGTTCGGGAGTAACACTGCATTACCAGGATCTTCTTCTGGACAAGTACCAATACAAGTAGATGGATCGAGATTGTCATACGTTGCGCGTTCATTATTTTCAATAGTCAGAGTTTTCATCGAACCGTCATTATCAAACGTTTTATCAATCTTGAAAGAGCTATCTTGATTGTATCTTGAGCGTATCCCACAAACGGCATCCTTCTTTTTCTTACAAATCTTTTCAACAGAATCAAAATAGAGAGGCTCAGGACATGATTGAACCCATGCCACGCCACCGCTACACATACAGAATTTCTTGCAGTCATCGTTCGGGAGTAGCACTGCATAATCAGGGTCTTCTTCTGGACAAGTACCGATGCAAGTAGATGGATCAAGATCATTGAAAGATTGATAATTTGAGAAATATAATTTAGACCAAGTGTTATCATGTGTCTTGTGATAGTGATTTTTCTCTTCGCTCGAATTATTTTCGTCGATCACTTTATTAAATGTAAAAAATCGATTTGTGTAACGATTTACGGCACAAATAGCATTTCTCTCTAATTTGCAAACGTTATCTACAAAATCAAAGTAAAATGACTTAGGACATGACTGGATCCATATCATACCTCTGCTACATACACAGAACTTTCTGCAATCCAAATTTGGAAGCAAAACCGCATAATCATAGTCTTCATCGAAACAAGTTCCTATGCAGGTAGATACGTCTTGGTGGGAGTGAAGCCTAGACCAAGAATTGTGTATTTCGCGTTCATCATTCATCTCTTGAACTTCTATCTTTTTGTTCTCATTGACTTGTTTATCTATCACAATAATTCTTTTTCGGTTAAACGTACGTACTGCACAAACAGCTTCTTTCTTCTCTTTACATCTTTTATGTATTGAGTCAAAGTAAAGAGACTTAGGGCACGATTGGATCCACATGAAACCATTGTTACATAAACAAAATTTCTTACAATCCGTGTGTGGATATAACACTGCACACTTGGAGTTAGAACAAATACCGATGCAAGTAGTCGGATTGAAATTACGGAAGTGTGGCCATAAGTAGTTATGTCTTCTACGTTTATTATCCTCTCTCAGAAATTCCATCGAATCGTCGTCCTCGTCATCCTCTCTGTTAATCGTAATTGCATGATATTGTTTGAATGAATTTGTTGCGCAAACGGCATGTCTTTTTTGTCTACAGACCTTTTCCACAGAATGAAAGTAAAGTGACCTAGGACATAATTGAACGTATGTTAAACCCTTACGGCATATACAGAACTTCCTGCAGTCCTTATGCGGAAGTAACTCTTCATAGTCGTTATCTTCTTCAGGACAAATGCCGATGCATGTAGACGGATCGACATTATAGAAACGCCGCTTATACCAAGGATTGTCATATAATTCACGTTCGTTATAATCCTTTTCGCTTAGAGATACCGAATTGTCGTCAAATATTCTGTCGACCATCAATGAGCGTACCGCACAAACAGCATCCTTCTTTCGTTTACAGGCCTTATCTATAGAATCAAAATAAAGTAATTCAGGACATAGCTGAACATATGTTGTGCCATTGCTACACAAACAAAATTTCTTGCAGTTATCGTTTGGAAGTAGCACTGTATGTTCAGGATCTTCTTCAAAACAAGTACCGATACAAGAAGATGGATCGAGAGATGTTTCATGTTCATCGTCGTCGTTTTCATCGGTTAGAGGTTGCAACGAATCGTCATTATTAACCGTTTTATCAATCTTGAAAGAGCTATCTTGATTGTATAAGCGTATCCCACAAACGGCATCCTTCTTTTTCTTACAAATCTTTTCAACAGAATCAAAATAGAGAGGCTCAGGACACGATTGAATCCATGCTACGCCACCGCTACACATACAGAATTTCTTGCAATCGTCGTTTGGAAGTAACACTGCATAATCAGGATCTTCTTCTGGACAAGTACCAATACAAGTAAATGGATTGAGATTTTGAACTATTTTATCAATCTTTTTAATATTATTTTTGTCATGTGTTACTTTGCAGACATAATTCTCTGGGAAATCGCAAACTTTCAGAATAGGATTAAAAACGAGATTCGGAGAACATTTTTTAAGTATGCCGACGCCATTCTCGCAGACATAATACAAATTACAGTCGGTCTCATGAGGAATATTGGTGGTTTCTGTTATTGTTTCGCACTTGATTGGTGTTGATGTACTGGGTATGTTTCCTTCAACGTTGCAGACGACGTTTTCCGGATAATCGCATACTCGAAGCTTTGGATTAAAGTATAAATTTCTAGGACATGTTTTCAAGATCTTCTCACCATTGTTGCACTTGTAGTAAAACCTACAGTCATTTTCATGAGGTATTTCATTATTTTCGTCGTAACATTTACTTGAATCAGGGATGGTAGGAAACGAACTTCGAGGAATCGTTGTTGTGAAATCATTGCATTTACCTTTAATCGGCACATCACAAATCTGACGAACATAATCATAATGTAGACCATCCGAACAATCTCGAAGGATCTGTTTTCCGTCAATACACTCATAATATTGTGTGCAATTGCACTCATGAGGCAACAGGACTTGTTGCATGGAATCGGGAGGACAAATATTTAAGGTTACTGTCGGGTGTATAGGTTGTGGCTTAGGTGTACTTAGATCACATTTCTTTTGCGGATAATCGCACATCTGTATAGTAACGTTGAAATGAAGTCCTTCAAAGCAGTATTGTAAAACTTTTTCACCTTCAGAGCATAAATAATACTCAGTGCAACTATTTTCATGATTGAACGCTCTGCCGTTTGGAGAACATTTATTGTTAATGTCGTAATCGTTAATTTGGATGTCGTGAGATGAAAATTGTGAGATACATTTCACTTTGATGCTCCAATCGCAAACATCTGTTGCGTCATCAAAGTACATGTTGATTGGACATGTTCGTAATACCTTGTCGCCTTCCACGCACTCGTAATACTGATTGCATAGACATGGATGAGGAAGTCGTACTTTTTCAGTTGATCCCTTAGGAGGACACGTTGTGCGGGGTTCATCGATAATTTCCGTAGTTGATGATGTTGTAAATATTGATGTAGACGTTGTCGAAATTGTATCAGCAACACATTTGGCTTCAATTGGATCATTACAAATTTGCCAAACGGGATCAAAATGTAGACGATTTGGACAAAATCGAAGAAATTTCTTTCCATCAATGCATTCATAATATTGTGTGCATTCACATTCGTGAGGCAAAAATACTTCCTGTACGGAATCTGAAGGAGGGCAAATATCCAAATTGATTCTTGGCGAGGATCTGTTCAGATCGCAACTCTTTTGCGGATAGTCGCATATTTGGATGGTCATGTTGAAGTGAAGTCCCTCCATACACTGTCTTAAAATTTTCTCACCGTTGGAGCATAAATAATAGGCAGAGCAATCGGTGTCATGTTGAAATGCTCTGCCTTCTGGAGCGCATGTAGTATTATAGTCATCAATGTCGGAGGTTAAAATGTTAAAGGTTGGAATCGGTCGAATACATTTTACTATTGAAGTCCAATCGCAAATCTCTCTCATGTAATCAAAATGCTTACCGATCGGACATGTTTGTAATATCTTTTCACCATCTATGCAGTCGTAATATCGGTTGCATAGACATGGATGAGCAATCCGTGCTTCTTCCGTTGATCCCTTTGGAGGACATTTATTACGGGGTTCATTGGGATTTTTTGTTGTGGTTTCTGTTGTAATCGTTATTTCTTTTGTAGTCGTTTTTGTTGGAGTCGTTGTAGTCGGAGTTGTAGTCGTAGGTGTCGTAGTCGTTGGAGTCGTAGTCGTTGGAGTCGTAGTCGTTGGAGTCGTAGTCGTTGGAGTCGTAGTCGTTGGAGTCGTAGTCGTTGGAGTCGTAGTCGGTTGTGTTTGGAGTGGTAGTCGTTGGAGTCGTAGTCGTTGGAGTCGTAGTCGTTGGAGTCGTAGTCGTTGGAGTCGTAGTCGTTGGAGTCATAGTCGTTGGAGAAGGAACTATAGGTGACAAAGTACTTCTGTGTCCACAGTTTACGTTTTCCGAGTAATCACATTCACCGATCACTGGATTGAATAATAAATTGCTTTCGCATCTTACCCAATTCGTACCTCTTATGCCGTTAGCACACCAATAATAGTAATCGCATATAATTTCATGAGGAATTTTGTAGTTCTTATCATTTGGTTCGCAACTCGAAGCAACTGGATCTGAGTTTGTCGGCAATGAGTAATTAAACGGTGGCGAAATCGATGATGGATTTGACTTATCCGTATTTAGCGGAGAGTTTTTACAATTTACATTTTCCGGATAATCACATACACGAAGCAATGAATTAAATAATAAATTACGGTCGCATTTCTGAGAGATGGGACTTACCCAACCATTGAAACACAAATAGTAATGATCGCACATAGTTTCATGGGGAAGCATGTGTGTTCTGTTGTCAGATTTACAAGAATTCACTGAAGGTGTCGGAAAATTCGGTATTGAGGTCGTCGGCGTTGTTGGTGTCGGAGAACTCGATGTTAAAGTACTCGGTATCGCTGTTGTAGTTGTTGGAGAACTTGATGTCGGAGTCGTCGGCGTTGGAGAACTCGATGTCGAGGTCGTCGGCGTTGTCGGCGTCGGAGAACTCGGTGTCGGAGTAGTCGATGTCGAAGAACTTAGTGTCGGAGTCGTTGGCGTTGGAGAACTGGATGTCGGAGTCGTCGGTATTGGAGAGCTCGGTGTCGAGGTCGTCGGCGTTGTCGGTGTCGGAGAACTCGATGTTAAAGTACTCGGTATCGCTGTTGTAGTTGTTGGAGAACTTGATGTCGGAGTCGTCGGCGTTGGAGAACTCGATGTCGAGGTCGTCGGCATTGTCGACGTCGAAGAACTCGATGTTGGGGTCGTCGGCGTTGGAGAACTCGGTGTCGGAGTAGTCGATGTCGAAGAACTTAGTGTCGGCGTTGTCGGCGTCGGAGAACTCGTTGTTGGGGTCGTCGGCGTTGGAGAACTCGGTGTCGGAGTTGTCGATGTTGAAGTACTCGGTGTCGCTGTTGTAGGTGTTGGAGAACTTGGTGTCGGAGTCGTCGGCGTCGGAGAAATCGTGATATTTGGTGTAATTATTGTTGTCGGAATACTTGATGTAGTTGTCGAATTCAATGACGGTGTCTGACATCCTGCATTCCAGGGCCAATCGCATACTTGAAGTTTGGGATTGAAGTGCAATTTATTACCATTCTCATCCATGAAAGGGCAATCTATTGGCTTTCCTTTTATTCCCAGGTGACAACTGTAGAATTTTGTACAGTCACTTTCATGGGGTATAAAAACTGTCTCATTTTGTTGATTGGTCTCGGGACATTTTGTTGGAATATCAGCTAGTGATCCATTAAGGACAATACCCAATGTGACCACTAAAATGGCCACTAAGTATATACCTAAAATTCGAATCGATATATTTATATATACATATATACATATAATGTTAGTTATTTTTTAAACTCAATAATCTTTTTAACTTCAATTATTAAATTTGGAAAATAATATTTTACCCAAATAATCAAATTTATAAATACTTTTCACATAATTTAATGAAAGAATGGAATATTTATAAGGTAATCATATAATGATAAAAAATATTTTTAACTTGTATATTCTACGAATAAAATGGTCATTAAATATGCGTAAAGTTCAAAATGATATGTATAATGATATGTCAATAATTTATGAAATCAATTTCAGTAATTAAATTTGTAAAATAATGTTTTATTCGTAATGATAAAAATATTTTAAACTTGCATATATCTAAGTGCAAAATGATCATTAGTATCTGCTTAAAATTCAAATCTATATATATATATATATATATAATATTATTTGAAATCAATATAATATATTAACAATATATATAATGTTAATTGAAATTAACTCAGTAAATTTGAAAAATAACATTTTATTAAATTTATAAGTACTTTGTATATAAAATTCAATTAAAAAATGGAAAATTTACAAAGTAACTATGATAAAAATATTTTAAGCTTGTAAGTATCTACTATATTATTTTACGTTTCTTCACTGATATTTACTCACAATCAAACACAATTACTCGCACTGCACTTTTTTTCTCTTTTTTTTTGCGTGCCCAAATAATTATTTTGCCACTCAACAGTTATCCAATTTATCAAATAATTCTTCTGTTTGCTTCTATTTTATCACTTCATCGGAATTCCGTCAATTGCAAACACTCACCTTTCATCGTGGAAAATCCATTCGCTAAATGAAGAGACGAGTATCTATTTCTTCACTTATTAAATTGTTAACTGACGAATTCGTCTTTATGAAATGAGTTTTATATAAGCGCACGACGCGTTATCGCATAGTATATGCTTATCATATCTAACATTTGATAGAACCCTTCTCTTATAAAAGTTACTTAAGCAGGTGCAAAAATATATTTATACGCATCAATTGCAGGGTGCCAATTAAATAAACGCGGAAAGCTGCAAACATTCGTATAGAGGATAGAAATTTTATTTTATTAAATTCGCTCATCACAGTGGAAATGAGAGTGTAATAATCTTAAAGTAATAAAAAATATAAAAATGTTAACTTTTTATGGAAATATTGAAACGATATTAAAATTAAATACACAAAAATTACAAGTTTCTGAACTTTGCTTAAAAATTCAATTTCTTTGATTTTTGTAAAAAAGTTAAAAAAAATTTATTTATTAATTACTCTCAAAATACATTCTATCTGAAATAATATGCTTTTATAGCGATTATATACATAATTTCTAGAAATATCTCTAATAAACTTCTTCTGAAATACATTGATTTCGATCGTAACTTTTTGCATTTTACGATTAAACTGTGTAATTTTTCGATAACTAAGTAACATAATAAATTAGCATACACACACACAACTCGCGATTTTAGTTTTAGAATTTTCTTAAAACAGCTTTATTTTAAAATTTTAGCTTCAGATTTAGTTGCAAAGAGTTAGGAAAATTAGAAAATTGTAATAAATGATACCTCTTAACGTTTATAAAACATCGTGAGTTGAGACACATATTATTTTCGAGAGAAAAGAGATAGTTGGTTAAAAATTCTGATTCTAATAATTTATTTTATTTTATTTTCAAATAATCAGATAAAGATATAACAATAATAATCAGGACATATTAAGTACTCTGTTATCTATTGATAACGTTTATCAATTTGGTAATTTATATAAATAATTTTCTGCTTTAATCTACGAACACAAATGTGTTATATGAATTTCAATTTATTTTGCTAAATTTTTTATTGTCCACAATAAGAAATTAAAGAAGAGGTGTGTGTTTGTCCAAATCACCATTGTTTCTTCCATCTCTTCCAATGTACGAATAAGCGATAAAAATGGAGAAATTGCAAAACTGCAATTCACTTTTTCTTCTTTTTACTTTAATCCAAATTTTCTTTCCCTTGTTTCTCTACCATGGGCAATCGGCTATCCATGGCCAGTTGCAGATTTGCTCCGCTTCGTGGAAATGTAAGCCGGGTGGGCAGGACAAAACGATAGGCGTGCCGTTGCTGCATGAGCAAAATTTGTTACAGTCATCTCTGTACGGCAGAAGTATCGTTTTATCGTTAGAATCCAAAATTGGACATGTACCGATGCAATTAGAATTATCAGCCTTTTCCTCAGATATATCTGATTCAATCTCTGGGTTCATTCTGGGGAAACGTCCTGCAGGCAGCGAGTCCCATTGCTTAATAGTGCTATTGAAATGCAGACCATCGGGCCACTTGTAAATTGTGCTTTTACCATCCTGACAAATGTAATGCAGATTATATTCCTTCGGATGAGGCAATATGACGATGCCTGAGGATGGACATTCAGGTGCCTTCACAGATACTCCGGTAACAATAATTGCCAAGGTAGCAACAATTACCACACAATAACCTGTAAATTACAAAATGTATTTTCAATTATCGAATAGAATTAAATTTTTTAACATTCTCATTTGCATATTTCTTGATGGCATTTACGAAAGTGATTTTAATCCTGCTGCGTAACAAGGAAGAAATTTTATCGACTTTTATAATCGAGAACACTACCGCAATGGTGTAAGATTTGTTCTCACCAATATACGTTAAAAAAACAGTGACGATAGAAAGATAGACTATCTTTTACCGGAAATTTAATTTAGACTTGGGCCCGTTTCTATCAATATAGTTTAATTTTAATCTCAGTTTGACTAATTCTTTATCTTTTTTTCAGTTCTGAGAATTAGAAAAAGATAAAGAGTAAGTTGAACTGAGATTAAAATTACTCTACACTGATAAAAACGAGTTTTAATAGTAAAATCTTGTCCTAGTTCTAAACGGATTTTCGAGTGAAAAAGGAAGATAGAAAAAAGAAGATAGAAAAACAAACTTAATCGTGTACGATATAGGTCACTTCAATAATCTGATACATTTCAATATCTGACAAATAATTTGATATCAAACTTATGTACACAGTATTAAGAACTATTAGTATTAAGAAACTCTAAATCGTTACTTATCACATTACTTATCACTTTACTTATCCTGTTGTTACATATCATGTTAAAGATCGTATAAATCTTCAGAAATTTACTCTTATTGTAGTTATTTATTAAATATCAAAACGTATTATACATTCGACAGTTAAAAATACAATAACTAGCTATTGTAACAGTATCGATTTTTATATCAATCATCTTCGTTTGATAATAATCTTGCAGGAAGTGTCATATCCTAAAAATGATCTAACCGCGCAAGCGAAATCGAAAAATTTTTTTATTAAAATTCACGTTGATTTGATTAAATAATACTGATAATTAACTGATAAATTTATTCAGCGTCAATATCGAAATCAATTCAATTAATCAAAAGTCAATGTATAAATATATGTATTTTAAAGAATTTTTTAGACAGTGCAATAAAATATTATATATGCAATATATTAGGTGTTGGAATTAATTCGTAGCGTTTTACAAGTGATGGGAAGTACTTTCATTAATGTATTTTTTAATGCTCATGTGAAATAAATAACATTCTTTCATTAAAAAACGCTACGAATTAATTCCAACACCTAATATTTTTATAAATTTGCATTATCCTTGCAATTTTTCAGAGAAAAGTTTTCAGATAATATTCAGAATAACAGTCATATTTCTTGTTTACGTGTGAAATCTTCACGACATCGATAAAAATAAAAATGACATCACAAAACGAGCGGTTTAAATGAATTCTTTGGGAAATGATTAATCTAATAGATGAATATATATATTTGCAATTGTGAGGTTGCAGCGGAAGTCGTTTAGTCTTGGAAGATAATTTTAGTCAAAATATGTTTTATTAATAATTATACGGATCTTTTTGCAAAGAAACGAGAGAAGGAGAAAACAATCAATAAAACACATTTGACACACTTACATGTAATAATCTGCAATAAAACTGTAATTTTATCCAGAACAGTAATCATCTCTTTGCATACTCGATAAAATATTTTATTTTCCATTTATGGATAGACAATAAAATAAACTTTTACGAAAGAAAAAGAGCAAATAAAAGCGCGATACATTGTGTATAAAATTAATAAATAATATGTGAATAAAAATAATTATATTACGTTGAAAACGTTTACGTATTTCAGCTCGAGTCATTTTCAGAATACAGATTATTTCATTTATTACATATCCGTATTAAGCTTATAAACATTTTATATATATATATACACACACACACACACACACACACTATAAATCTGATTTAAACCATGCAAAAATAATGTATGCGTACTTATTTTTAATTTGATTACGACGTCTGTATGCTCTTGAATATCGGATTAAATTTAAAAAAATAAAAAAATTAATAGGACTCTGAAATTAAACAAAATAATAATTAAATAGTAGGACTGATAATGAGAGAATCAGACGCAGATTTCGGTGAAAAAAATCAATTGATGTAAAATAATCGACAAAATTTGTTAGATAAAGGTTGTTAGAGACGCATACATTTGAGCATTTCGTTTTAATTTCGAGCCATCTTCAGTAATTGCACAAGTATTAAAAAATAGTCTCACACTCTCTACTGTACGTGACGAAATCGATCCTGGATCTTCAAATATGAATGAATATTTGGTCACTGGTTGGTCAATTGAGTAATGTACACTCAAAAAATATGGATGGATTTAACACCACGCGGTGTTAATGTAATTTTTACTGCATTAATAATTATTATAGTTACAAACGTCAATATGGATTTAATGCTGAGTTTTTAAACTACATTATATTGGTATTGATATTATTAATAAAAAAATTATTAATAAACAACATAGTGAGAATTATATTTATACCCCCCACATGGTGTTAAATCTATACTTTTTTTTTAGAATATGAGCTGCGATAATTATAAAAAATATGAATGTATTTAACACATGCAGTGTTAAAGTAAATTTTATTGTGTTAATATTAGGTGTTGGAATTAATTCGTAGCGTTTTTAATGAAAGAATGTTATTTATTTCACATGAGCATTAAAAAATACATTAATGAAAGTACTTCCCATCACTTGTAAAACGCTACGAATTAATTCCAACACCTAATATAAATATGGATTTAACGCTATATAATTTTTTAATCTACATGTTAGTATTGATATTAATATCAACATAGTAAGAATTATATTTATATATGGTGTGAAATTCCACCTATATTTTTTAGAATGTATGGGCTATGATAACGCCGCTTAAAAAAATAATGATTACATAAAAATTTTATAATTTTATGAAATATGTCAGCTATTAGGTGTTGGAATTAATTCGTAGCGTTTTTTAATGAAAGAATGTTATTTATTTCACATGAGCATTAAAAAATACATTAATGAAAGTACTTCCTATCACTTGTAAAACGCTACGAATTAATTCCAACACCTAATAATTAGAAAGCAGTTTTCACTTATCAAATGAAATAAAGAACAGAAAAATTAAAACGAATGAATAACAGCTTACAATACATCGAGAAATGGTATAAAAATAAATAAATATGGCAAGAGGTCCGTAAAATTAATAAGCCAATAGACAATCAGCAATAAAAATGTTTAAATGTCACGAGTGGTCGGAAGTTAAAAAAACATACATCAGTAATTAAATAATATAAAAATATAAAGTAAACAATAAAATAATAAATCATACTCACAAACACACACACACGCGCGCGCACACAGTGTGAAATATAAAAAAATAAATAAATAAAAATAAACTCATAAAAACAATAAACGGTGACAGTAATGTCATACGTCTTCTGCTTTGTAAGAGCAAAGCGAAATATTATATGTTTAAAAGTTGTCTAATTAAATTTGATATTTTCCGATTTCACTCGCTTTATCAATACCGACAATTGAAATAAATATCGAGCGATGTCACGTTACCGATAATGACAAGGTTGCACGGACTATGTCTGAATTTTTGTGATAGCACAAAGTTCACCGATTGAAAGATCAAGACGCGCTCTAAATTGTCACTATAGATCATAAATTTTTATTTCATATTAAAGATTATTACGAGACGATAGGATACGAAGCTATAAATCTTCCTCAAGATTGTAATTTACGCGTTAAACGCAGTTACGCATGAATCACAATCAACCTTGTAAAAAATATAAATATAGATTGCGTATTCAATTCGTTAATCATGCATCTGCATGCATGCAAATCTTTTTTCTTTACAAATACATCCGTTATTTTTATTGACTCTTTATTTATATTCATCATTTATCGAGGTCACAAACGACGATTACCGATAAATATTTAATTATCTGCATTTAATGAATATATAGTAAAAAATCATACATTTCATGTTATATTAAATTGAGAGTTCAAAATAACTATATGAAAATTTCCGAAATTAATGGACTTAAATTTTTGACCAGATATTGTATGTCATAAATATCGTATTTTTTTTATCATCTTTGATCTAATTTATTTTTTATCACTTTTAATGCTTCGATAATGTTACACTATAATGTTACCTGCTATTGAATTCTACAACTGAAAGATAACTGATCGATAAGCCGATACCATGGCTTATCGATAATATCGTCACTTTGTCTAAAAGTCGGCGCAATTTAGTATAATCGTATGATAATGTAGGTATAATTGACGATAAACAAAACTATTTTTTTTTATTTAATTATTTAATTTTTAATTTAAGATTATAGCAAAACTTGGAAATTACAGACATAATACTTTTCTCTTTAGATATAATTATTGTAACGTGTAATTAAATTTTTTTATTTTCTATTTTAGAAAATTAAATAAATATAATATTATTAGATGTTGGAATTAATTCGTAGCGTTTTACAAGTGATGGGAAGTACTTTCATTAATGTATTTTTTAATGCTCATGTGAAATAAATAACATTCTTTCATTAAAAAACGCTACGAATTAATTCCAACACCTAATATAATATATTTTATTTATATAATTATTTTTATTAATTATTGTATGGAGTATCAATTATATTTTATTAATCTGAAAACAACGTATTTTTAGAGACGTATTTTTCAAGCATTTACAATACGTAATAAAGTGTATTTTATTACGTATTAAACGCAATTAATCGATGATGATTAATTCTTATCCAATTAATCATCATCGTCTACATTACGCAATCTCTCCATTGGATCACAGTGCATTCGTTATAATGGAAAACATTGCAAGTCATACCTTTTTTATCAATTGATTGCTTAATTTCAGGATTATGATTTTACACGTAAAATGTAATGACATGTACATGTATACACAATGTAAATTATCTAAACTATATTTTATATGCCATCTATGTAAACAATCTATGAATCATTGAATGTTATACATATATTTTTATCGTTGCACTGGATTGCATAAAGTTTCTATCTCGTCTATATATTTTTATTTATCAATACTATATAAAGTAAGATATATTAATAATTATAAAATTTATACTTCTTAATTCTTGTATTATTAGCTTATAATAATTCCCCCATAACAAAGGATCACATCACAATAGAATCGCAACAGGAAGAAAATATGATGTCACTGTTGAGATTGTCATAACAAAATAACACATGTTACAGAGACATTCGCACATCACCATGGCATTGCTGTGACATCACATTCGTAACAAAGCGGACATTCGCATGTCGCCATGATATAACCATGATTGTTTTGATGTAACTGTAACGTTTTTTGCTAAGGAAGTTCACATACTTCACATTGCATACTTGTATTGTCTACATGAAAAAGATTCATTTATAAATTTAACGCAAACAATACATAAATATTCCACGTAAATATAATCTTGAAATATATTTGAAATATACTCACCACTCTGTTTAATTTTCATGTTTCGTTCTATTTATGTTTATTATGCAAAGAAACTTGTTAAAAACTTGATCGATTTAATTGTATTATACTTTAATTGCATTATATTGTTTACATATAACACATTTAAAGAATAATAAAATTATTACATTCACCAAGTCTTTGGAAATGTTAAATTTTATTTACATTGCGCCAAATTGGCTAAAAGATGACTTATAAATTATAATATTGATGTTCGTAGACACCGAGACGAGTAATCACTTATACAGCACAAAGTTGACTGTCAGTCGGTAGAAGAAATCTAAAGTCGCCTTTGAAGTCAGACTTGATTGTCGACTTTTAATCGACAAATGTTTTAACTATAGTCGGTTGTCAGTTAGCCAATGTAGTCAATTCAAATTCGACTTTATAGCAATTATGATTACGGTCCACTTGATGCTACGAATCCTATAAATCGTCAATTTTCCATCATAATATTTTTATAAATTATGATTAGGGATGATCCACTTTACGCTGCAAATACTTTCTTTAACTGGTTCGTAAAATTCTTTTTTCTGATTGGTCAAGTATTTACAGCATTAAGTAGATCGCATCCTAGATTGACATTTAGTCAACATTGTGTGCTTTAAGTCGACAATTGTAAATTTATTACAGTTTTTAAGTTATGGCTAGGTTAATTTTTAATCAATATTATAGCATTTATAAGTCATCTTTTAGCCAATTTCGCGCAATGTAAATAAAATTTAACATTTCCAAAGACTTGGTGAATGTAATAATTTTATTATTCTTTAAATGTGTTATATGTAAACAATATAATGCAATTAAAGTATAATACAATTAAATCGATCAAGTTTTTAACAAGTTTCTATTATGTATTAATATCTTTTTGTTTTGCAAACCTGAAAAAAAGGTATCTTTAAGTCAATTTTTAAGTATTTTGTATCATCTGAAATATATGTAGCGCTGATTATTATTATTAATAATAAATAGAAGGTTGACTATATAAATCGAAACTTAAAAAGACAATTTTTAGGATTTTCAAAAATAGTCGACATTCAAAATTGACAAAAAAATCATCATAGAATAATCGACTAAACGTTGACTTTACAAGTCGACTTTAAGTTTACTAAAAAAAAAGTCGACTATTATAAGCCGTAAAACTGTCATGCGTGTTATGTGGGCAGCTGCATTATCACAACGCCCGTTCATATCATTGAGACTTCGCATATCGCTTCGGCCCCTCACCCCCGATTCCCGACCCCTCATCCGTAAATTAAATATTTCGGTCGAGTCATAATTGAATCCAGGTCAACGGGGCTATTTCCCGACCGCGTTCTCTCTACCCGAAGTACGAATCAAAGCGAACCTAGCAACACGCGCCGATCTTAACTCCATGCGCGCGCTTATATATAAAATATATTTGGGATGAGTTGCCGCTTGGTAACCGTCTGAAATCCTAACGTCGGTAACGGCGCTGCCTGTAACTACATCAAGCATTTCGTATTTGCCATGCACGCGCTCGTGTGTGGTGTGTGCGCGCGCGCGCGCACTCTACTATCTCCCTTGTTTTCAGAGTACGAATTGCGCCTCTCTCACGTCATTGCACACAAAGTGCACGTCGCGGTCGTCGCTGTCGCGGCCGTCGTCGTCGTCCTACTCCCTCAAAAATAACGATCCAATGGGAAGCGTGTAAACAATGGCTGCGAGCGCGCTGGTTGGCCGCGCTGTCGTCAAGTCGGCCGCTGCCGGCCAATCAACTGTACGGCCCGCGACAGCGCCGACGGAAAGCGGCGGCGCACCGTCCAGTGGCAGTACCCCTCCGTCCCTCTATCTGATTGCACGTCGAGCATTCAGTAGACTCGGCCATTTCTCTCGCGAAACGTAGCGACTCGCTCAACCGCGCGACGGTTTTTTTTTTCGCGACTGCACCGTGCGGGTATACTCCCGGAAGTTTTGCAAAATAACGCGACGCAAAAGGATGATACACTCCGGGCGCACCAGGCTCGAGGTAAGTCAACCGTACGGATGCTACATCGGCCCAACGCGGACCCTGTGAAACGCGATCGCGGAAACGCGCGTCGAAGTGCTGCCACACACAGTTCGGGGGGGTCGTGCGTGTTCAATGTTGTCATTGCCGAGGCGAACAGCTGATTCGCTCCCCTGGCCTCCGCGAAGCGCGGCGGCCACCACGGGCATCCTCGTCGCCGCCGTTTCGCGTCCTCATCGTGACCAAGACGACGATTATGACCTACGACAAGGACGACGACAGTGTGAAGGCGTCATTGCGCCAGGGCATTCTCTCGTTATTGTGACTGGATAGCTGGATGATTGGCTGGCTGGCTGGCTGGCAACATGCTGTCATTCTGCGAGACCTTTTTCATATGTGTGACGTATATATTCTCATCGACCAACCAAGACAATCGTGCAATAAGCGAGCTTAGTTAGCTGGCCTAGCTGTAGTCAACCAATCAACCAGCCATCCAGAGCTCCGTTCTTTGTCCTGTCTTTCCTCTTTCCTTCCGTCCTTCCTTCCTTCCTTCCTTTCTTTCTTTCTTTCTTTCTTTCTTTCTTCGCTTCTCTCTTTCGTACTCCGCCTCTCGTTCTCTCTCTCTCTTTCTCCCCCCTCCCTCTCTCCCTCTTTCTCGCTCTCGCGGTCGCCAGCGGTGGCTACGTCGCCAGCGGTGCGTTCTCGTTGTTAAATGCACGCCTCCCCCTCCCCCGCGCCCTGGCTACTATCCTCTTTGTTCTTCGCTTCGGCGGCGTCCGAGCAGCGACGACGACGACAACGACGACACGACGACACGACGACGACGACGACGCGCAAAAATCTCTCCGCGCTCTCTGGCGCACAGAAACGAACCCTGACGATGAAGATGACGACAACGACGACGTTCGAGCGCGCCAGCGAAATGTCAATGAGCTCGTTGTTGCTCGACGACGCTGTGAATGCAACGTTCTCGTTGGATAGACGGTACTCCGCAACGTTACTCCGTTTTGCGCGCG